TTGAATGAAATGTTCATTTGCTCTTAATGTTCTAAAGTATCCTCATTCTCTCACCTGTTTTAAGAATGGGCAACAACTCAGCAAGCCATTGAATATAATATAGAATCACAGCCAATGATGGCGGGAAAGCTTCGAACCAAGCCTCGTTTTCATAGCATACTGAAGACTAGTCCCCAGGAAAACCCGTCTTTCAGACTGGATTTCAGAATTATTGAGAATGATGGGTAAAATATTTTTCCAAAAAAACTAATAGCGTGTGGGTGCTAATTGGAAAGTTGTAAACGTGTGCTTTGTTTGCAACGCAAAATTAGAGCGTGGACGCTTAGAGGAAGGAAATACCAGGCCTGACGAAGTACGGTATTTGATCAATAATGAGCATACCCTTTCCTTTTCAGGAAAATTGTTTAACAATCAGAAGCTATAAAGGAATTATTTAAAATATGATTTTTTTGGTGAAAGGTTTAAGCGCTTCCTAATTATTTTTCGTGGAACTCGTATTTATCTAATAGGTTCTTTATTTTTTCACATCTCGTTAGCGCTTTTTTTTTTTTTTTTGGGTTTGTTAGCGTTTTTTTCTTCGTCAGTTACACCTTTGCGCTCCTTCCTTGTATCACTCGTCATTTCGCAGTTCTCTTCAGATATAAGGCCAGTTTCCTCTACGCATAATCACTTTTTTACCTAAATTCGCGCTTGGCGCCGTTCTCTGTTTCGCGGTTTTATATTAGGCATTATCAAGGTGAGTATTTTTCCGTTTCGCTTCGTTTGTATTCATTTTTTGTTTATATTTTGTTTATTACTCGGGCTTCCTGTAGAATGCCCGAGTTATAAATTGGGCTTCGTTATCATTTTTAACTTGTGAATTGCACGCATGCGCAAGAGCGAGTTATAGATATGATGTGGAGAATGGCACTTGCTCGCTCGTTCGATTGGTCGATTCCTGTAAACTTTTTCCGATTTTAGGCTTTTGAGTGCATTTGATAGTTTTTGGCGAGTAATAAACAAACGAAATGGCGACCTTCGTTGCTAAGAAGAGTGGTGGGGTGAAAAAGAAGCCGATGGTAATCTTAAAAGAGTTTTTTTTTTTCATTTTAGTTTCAACAAGCGGCGTCAGCGACTGGCAGGCGTGCGATGATTCGCACTGAAATAAGAGAACAACCTTCGTTTTTCATAAAATTGTAATTTACAATTCTTGAAATTGAAACAGATCCGAAGATTCATTAAAAATATCACTTACTTCGAAACACTCGGAGTTTACAGTTGTTCAAAAGCTTTTTCTGTAATGGCGTGAGATTGGGGACAAAATCGATCGTTACATTTCGTATCGTGTGTTTTTTTCTGTGTGAAGCAACAGAAGGTGCCGGCGACTAACGAAATTACAGGTTAACACGAAAATCAAATAACACCTAAACAAATAATTTTGGCTACCGATTTTAAGTGAAATTTTGAAGAACAATTTTCTTTTAAGTTTCAAGAATGTTTGAAGATTCAAAATAAATATTACGTACTAAAATGCGAAAGTTATACACCACAAAATTGATAAATAGGTCTGAAATGAAATTATATCTTGTTCTTGATTATACGTTGCCTAGCACGTGACCAAAATCTACCCAGGCGGAAATCCAAAATGACAGTGGCAGTCTGGGCTTAGTTATATCACTCAAAACTCGTTCCTGTTTGTCTCATTTGATAAAGAAGGATTCAGTAATGTTTTCATTAATACAGTATTGCCTTGATTTTCCAATATTTACAATGATAGACAGTAAATTTCACTTTTCACCTACATTTACTTCCAACCTTTTCTATTGAACCAGAAACAAAAATTATATATTTTTAAAGCACATGACATCATCTACCCTTGTCAAATGTAATAGCATGATCATTTCAATTGTAATGCCTTCTTATCCCAACGTTACTTTGTTTCTTTGCTACATCAGCGAACACTGAACTACTGCTCGTACTCTAAATATGACAATCGACCACAAATTCCCTAAACCAGATAACATTAAACATAATCCAAAAAATCATATAAGTCATCTGTCAATTCACTAGTTTGCTAACAGAGCACTTTGATTCGTCTCGAGACGCGAAACGCAGTCTGGCAAGTAAAGCGCATGCGCTAAGTATGCTTTTTCAGTTGCGATGTAAGAGAGCAACAATACGGCATTTAAAGCACATGGCTTTCGGTTTTCGGAACGGGTCTGTCCACGAACTTTACAAGAGATAAACTTACGAACGAATACTTTTAAGTGAACCTACTATCGAGAACTATGCGATATCAAATGAACTATCTAGCGTAAGCTGAAAACCTATCCATGAGTATCTCAAGTATCTAGACGTGATCGTGAACCAAGTAAAATACCTATTCGAAATATGGAACGTCTGAAGAACGAGCAGAAAGGTTAGAATGTTTGTTTACTAACCATTCGTTCAACTATACTCAAATCATCTCAATTGCATTATGTGAAAGCTAGAAAACAAGGAAATAAGGCAAAGTTACACTTAAATGCTCCGAGAAATTTAATCATCGTGTAATCATGTTAAAACGTAGAGTCAGTCAGTATTTGTCGTTGTTTTCATGTAATAAACTGACAAGTCTTTACAAGACTCAGCGCCATGCAGTTAAATATTGTGAATGTAAACTGAGTAGAGATACAGAAAAGAATCCTGACCAGTCCTACTCCAGTGTATATTGACCCTAGCAAGACAGTTGCAGCACCCTATAGTCAAAGTTATGAGTTGATATTTGGACAAAATGCAGGAAAAGAATGTGTTCCAATGAGTTTGTGTTCTATGATTTACTCTAACAAACAAGGAATTAATTCTACTAATGATCTTGTTGCAATTATGTGTATTGGAAATAGTTGTATTCAAGTTTGTCTCAACTAGCTACACAGTCCTGCTATCAGAATTACCAACAATGCTGAATATGTTTGATGTTAAGTATCAACTGCACTACAGTGAAAGCTACGCTGGTACTGTGCATCAAGAAACTACAATACAGGGCTATCAATTTTGTTTTTCCTTGCAAAGAGCTTTTGAATCACTGATATCTGAAGACTACAAAAACTTCATATTAACAGTTAGGTGCATTACTGTTGCTATTTATTGTAAAGGTGAAATGGGATTTAAAATATTTGATTCTCACGCAAGAGATTTATATGGTAGAGGATATCCTGAAGGTATTTGTGTGCTTCCAGAAGTATCATCATTGAATAGCTTGGCACAATACTTTTAGAGTATACACAACAATGACATGTTCAAGGTAAAAGGGGTGAAAATCAATTAAGTTCAAAATGGCATAATTTGTCAAAACACTTTATAACATAGCTAGTAAATTTGTCTAATCAAATTCAATTGCATGAGCATGCTTCATATTCCTATTGTGCACACTCACGGCATCAGCAAAGAAATCCCTTGAGAAAAAAAATTTTCCATCGGGTTGAAAATGTTATAAAACAATTGGTTCATAAATTAGCGTGCATTCATCGAGATTCTGATCTGAGCGCTTCTTAATTATTTTTCGTGGAGCTCGTATTTATCTAATTGGTTCCTTATTTTTTTCACACCTCCTTGTTAGCGTTGTTTGTTGAGTTTGTTAGCGTTTTTTTCTTCGTTAGTTACACCTTTTCGCACGTTCCTTATGCCGCACGTCATTTTGCAGTCCTCTTCAAATAGAAAGCCAGTTACTTCTACGCAAAAATAGCTTTTCGAGTCAGTTTACCTAAATTCGCGCTTAGCGCCGTTCTCTGTTTTGGAAGTCGATTTTGCAGTTATATAAGTTAGGCGTTATCAATGTAAGTATTGAATTTTTTCCGTTTCGCTTCGTTTGTATCCATTTTTTGTTTGTATTTGGTTTACTAGGTTACCCTATTAGGTTACTTAACTCTTATTTCTGTTTTAGTTTCAACCTGCCCTGGCTGTTTCTCTCTAAGATAAAAGTACTTTCAGTTGTAAAGAAAACGTTTATGCTGTTGCAATTTGATCTCAATAATTTAAGACAGTCTACTTCCCAAATTTTAGGATGATATCATGGCGCACCTGTGCAGTATCAAAGATAGGTGAAGACCATTTGAATTTGCCTGATTAATACCTAATTAGCTTTTTTCTTTTGTAACATTTACCTTTCCTCTATTTTTTTGTAGGAAATTTTTGTTGTAATTAGGTTTATTCAACCTTACGAGAGCACGTAAAAAGGCAGTCGCTCTGACGAAGGGCTAACGCCTAAAAATCAACTTTAGGAACTCATTATGGTGACCAATTTACATTATCTACTCAGTTGATGAGACCAAATAATCTCATATGTGTCGAAAACACATTTGAGAGTAATTACGTTCTCAATGAAAGTGAAACCATGTGAAATTGTGTCTGCAATTTTGACATTTATCGTGTAAATCTTTTTGCCGTTTGCCACTGCCATGTATGGATGATTTTTCCGTTTTAATTATCGTAGAAGGACACCGTCTTCACTAATTTTCAAGAGACAGGAAAGAGACAAGTAAAGATATTTCTCCTTAATTGAAAACTGTAACATTTAACACACTGCTCCACAGCTGTATTTGCAGAGACCGTAAATTTCATCATCGATTCCCATTCTGTGACGTTGTACAGTTCAAACACAACTGGAATAAATTACGAAATTCTGCTCACCAGCTGCACGAAAAAATTAGAGCTCATTAACTAACAAAGAAAAAACTGTTTGGTTTAGCATTGATGTTTTTGTCACCCTGTAATCACCATCGTTCTTCTAATCGGCAGCACGTATACGTAGAGTCAATCAAAAGCTGAGTTACTAGGGCGGTTCAATTTCCATGAAAGTTTATTCAACTGAAATCACTAATTAAGTTTACGAGAAAGCTAAATTTTATATTGAAGCAAGGGGTAAGTTTCGAAAGAACCTGCGCTACGGCGGTGGGAGTGTAAAAAAAATAACCAGGTTTTATCAACTGAATTGATAATGTAAACTGCCACCGTTGCTTTCGAAGCCTTTACGGTAGCCAATTTTCAACTCGGTTGATAATATAAAACTTAAATATCTGAATTTAATTTTAGGTTATCAGTAGCTTGAGAATTTCTTCCAAGTTCATGATAACTGATCCGGTAAGTTTTTTGCCTAATTTATATTAAAGATAACTGTCGTTTTGATACATAACTCAGCGTTGAATCTATTGGCGGTGGATAATTATAAGAGAGTGATAATGAACTATTGTGCCTCAATTTGTTATCACAGCAAAACATTTAAAGGAAGTTACAAGCTCTAAAGACCAACAGTGCTAGTCGGAGAGCGCACTCGTTAAAACACTTGGTTAAAGTCAAATTGTAAGTTGTCTTCCTGTTCTGTTTTGTTGAATGTCTTCGTGGTTATGTTGTTCTAATTTCCTGGGTCTCAGTGGGTTTGTGCTATCTCATTTACACTTAGTTACACGATTGGTTTACTGTAAGAGCTTTGCAGCAGGTATTTATCAAGGATCAAAGACATTATAATTGGACATTTCATTCCCTATTAACCCCCAAGGCAAATATTTCGTCGAATTTGTGCGACGTATATCAACAGATATCACAAAAGAGTTAAAAATTTTTAGTGTCTTATTGTAAGAAACGTTTTCTAAGGGTCTCGATCTTTCAACCGTCAAATGGCCAAAATCTTAACGGTTGATTACAAAAAGTTATCCAGTCATTGCCGAAAAATCTCTCTGAAATGGAATCAGAATTACCGGATGTAGGTAAGACATCGGCTTCAATATTTAGGTCATCATTTGTTCTCACATTTTTACACCTGTAGTGCTGAAATGACTTCCCTTTGGAAAACCTGTAGTTTCGAAAACATGTCACGTGCATTTTAGAAAGTGAAATACCATTTCACCTCAACAAGTCACTTGGCCGCTATTTTTTGGGAAGAACTTTTACAAAAAGGTTTTTTTTTTAGCTTTGGAGTTAACAAAAAAAAAAAATCAGTGAGTAGAGCTGCTAACTTTTTGTTACGAAGAGGAGTGATCAAAATACACCAAAGCATTTGGTCATTATTCTTCGCCTGGGAGAGGGGGGGAGGGGGCTCTGTAATATTCTTATGACCCCGACCCCCTCCCCCTCATTAGCAGTTAATTAGAAAGTCGATTTCCTATAATCTTCCCGGATCAATATTAGTATCTGGGCAACTGCCCACCTACCCCTCCCCTAACCCAATTTTAACCTTAACTTGTTGTCAATTGACTGTTGTTGTCTTCCCTTTAAACTCTGTTGGCGACTGCTGATCTCCTACTCGGTTCCTCTTGAAAATTATGTGATCCCCAAACATCCTCTGTCCCGCCCTTAATGGACCTACTTAACTATTGTTGCTACATGGGTTTACACTTGGCCTTGAGGACTTTATTCTACGCATGCGACAATTTTGTATAAGTTTTGCTTCATTTTCTCCTAATAGTATTCTTGCAGCAAGGAAATGGGTCGACAACAAGGTAACCTTATCTTGCTACTAATGAGCCTATCAAGCATGCTGGTCTGCGGATTATGCAGTCACGTGGTACAAGACGAAACTGAGTACGTCATTATGTTTGATGCAGGCTCTACCAAAACAAAGCTTGAGATCTACAAGATTGACGTCGCCTCGCCCCCGTTGGAAGTAACAGACGTGCACGAACTTGATCCTTCACCCAGCAAAGCAAAACCAGGTATCGCCGACCTGGACCCATCGGAAATTGAGGCATATCTACGACCCTTACTGGACTCAGCGATGAAGACAATACCAGCGGAAAAACACTCCAGCACACATCTATTCTTCCTCGCCACTGGAGGAATGAGACTGTTGGATGAAGATAAATCTAAGGCGATTATGGACCAAGTAAAGGGAGTCTTGAACGATAAAGCTAAATGTCCATTTATGTTTGACCCTGAAGACGCCAGAGTGATCTCGGGGGCACTTGAAGGGATCTATGCCTGGATGTCTGTTAATTTTTTAGAGGGGAATTTTATCCCAGGGAAATCCCACCACACCTACGGGATATTGGATTTGGGCGGGGCTTCCCACCAAAATGCTGTCCAATTTTGGCGAAAGAAGGATGATTTGTATTCAATCAATGTGGGAGGTAAAAAATTTAATCTTTTTGCCAGAAGTTATTTAGGGTATGGGTTGAATGAAGCTCGCAAAACATACCTTGAACGACTGCCAAAGAAACCTTTCAAAAATGGTGTTATCAAAAGTCCGTGTCACCATAAAGGTTTCAATGAAACAACTGATATCAGTGGTGAATTATTCACCGTCGTAGGAATTACAAATGTTCCCGCCTGTCGAAGGATTATTGAGAAAACGTTTTTCTGCAAAAAGGGTGATTGCCCGTTTCATGATCAGCCCAAATTACGCGGGAATTATTTTGGTTTTGCTGGGATATATTACGCTGCCACGACCATCGGGATACTGTGTTCCGATTGCACCAAACCCCTCTCACCAGCCATGTTTGATAAGGGATCGCGAGATTTTTGCGCTAAAACACTAGAGAGCATCAACAGCAACCCGTATGCCAAAGATCATTGCTTCGGAGGCAATTTCGTTTTTGAGCTTCTCACCCACGGTTACGGCTTGTCTGCTCACAAAACTATCATGGTTGGCAACAGATTGGAAGGGTTTAGTTTGGGCTGGACCCTTGGCGCTGCTCTGTTCAATTCAGAATTGTTGTGAAAAAAATACAAAGGTAGAATTCCTTATATAATCAGCCAATCAATGACATGCATTAGTTTATTCGGGGAAAAGTCAGAAGTTAGCAGGGAGATTGAGCGGGGAGAGGTATTTAAAAAAGAATAAAGAATAAAGTGTAAAGGGATTTCAGGAAAACTATCGTAAGTTATTGGATATCTCAAGTTCTTTTCAATATGCAATAAAGTACGAAACATAACTCAGTCTGCGTGACTGTGATTTTCGTTCAAGAATTACATGTGAACTTAATAAAAAAGATATTTCCCAAAATTCATAAGGAAATCAGGAAGAGGGGTGGGGAAATTAGAAACTATTTGAAATTGAATCATTTCGTCAATCATTAAAACCTGAAGCGAAGTATTCATTCGGATTTTCCCACGCGTCGATCACTTGTGAATTTTCATTGGCTCCCTATGAAATCGTCGTGTTTTGAGAGGGTAATTTACCAACTGAGTTGATAACGTAAATTGGCCACCGTAAAGAATTTCAATCGCTCTGGCGAAGAGCCAACATTCGAAATATCAGTTTTGAAACTCTTACGGTGGTCAATTTACGTTATTACCTCTTTTGATAATACTAAATTACCCTATTATACTCTCCCACCGGAGCAGCACCACATTTTCTTTAGAAACTTAACCCCTTACCTCATAAGGTCATGTGATAACTTTGGTTTTTGGTAAAAGTTGTCCAAAAGCGTTTTGGTCTCGCACTTGATCGCCGTCGAACCATACCGGAAATAACCGAAGAGAGCCGAGTCTCGTCATTGAGCTTTGTCGCCCGGTTTTTTTTTTCATTTTTACTGTTACTGAAAGACGCCCTTAAATTATCAGTTTGGACGGAAGAGAAACACCAGGTAGCTGAGTAGAGACAAAGGAGAACGAGGACAAGAGAACTGAACTCCCAAGAGTGCCATCTACGTATTAAAGCAAACAATAAAAAGCTAATCGATTGAATTTAAATGAAGTTTATTCGATTGCTGCGCAAATTCACAGGCACAATTCAGTAGTTCAGAGCTTGTTGAAAGCCACGACATCCACACTTTGAACCTGCAAGGCGCACAAAAAAAATGAAGAAAAAAATATATATACATACCAATGGAAATTTCAACAAGGCCGGCTTAAGACAGACAAAAGAAATCGTGGAATAATTTCTGGCAGGTGTGGCAGGGAATTTGGCCACGAAAGAGGGCGTAGGGTATGCTGTGCACTCCTTAGGAAGAGGGGGCAGGGTGTGGTGTAGAATCCTTGGGAAGAGGGGGTAGGGTGTGGCGTAGACTCCTTAGGAAGAGGGGGTAAGGTGTAGTAGAGACTCCTTGGGAAGAGGGGTAGGGTGTAGTGGAGACTCCTTTGGAAGAGGGGGTAGGGTGTGGTGGAGATTCCTTGAGAAGAGGGGGTAGGGTGTGGTGGAGACTCCTTTACCATCTTGATTCTACCCCAATCTTAAGATTCCATTTACACCTACGCAATCATAGAACTAATAAAAAACTATTGCAACTAATAATAATGATAATGATAAACGACTGTAGATGCATGTATTTCATATATTTGAAGATGAAAGTGATCATTGCAGTAATAAACACTACAAAAGCACTGGTGAAAATAAAGCTTGAAAAAAAAATTCAGGCTTGTACCGTTTGTATTTTAAAACTGCTAATTAAAGTAGTGTTCATAACCGCAACAATCTCTCTCATCTGCAGATAATAACAACAATAACAAAAATGATAAAAAGAATATAAATTACATGTAATTATACTTACTAAATCTTCAATCTCTGTGATTTTTTCCTCAAGGAAATCTGTGCCACATTTCTCATCTTCAACCTTACAAGAGATCTGAAGTTTTTTGATGCCATATGCTACAGGCATAATCTTACCTAGGAACAAAGTGTAAGGTTTTACTCAGCAGCAGAACTCTCCTCATCTCCCGTGCAGCTAATCACATCAACTGATATACTTCATATCAAATGACAAAAATACATTATGTCCCATGGTGTGAATGTATAACAGATCAACCATTCTCTTTTGCCAGAATTAATATTAAACTTACTTGCTTGCCACTCCAATCCATCACATTCAATTGAACGAACAGCCTTTTCCATGGCAGCAATATCTGGACACAGGAAAGGATAAAGAATTGTCAATCATCATGTATCTTTCCGCAATCCCTAACTGACTGGCTGACTAACCAACTACCAAGCTGTAATCATTTTTCACTTCTAGAGAAAATTGTAGTAGAGTAACTTGAATTTGAAGCATGCTTGTTACAATTATTTGACAACATACAACTTTTCATGAGTTAAAGCTAAGAAATGGCAGAGAAATAGATACAACCCAATTACACACACAAAACATGGAAAACATGGAAAACATGAAAAACATGATCATGGATCCAAACAGAAATTTCATCCAATAGCACCTTTGATTTCATGTTAGAAACTACTAGAAATGAAACCTCAGATACTGGAACAGTCATAAGGGAGGAGAGTACAAAATTTCTGGCTTAGGAGATTTTACTGGTTAAAAAGTAGTGTAGTCAAACTTAATCTGGCTACGTCAAATTTAATTCCCTATTGCCTAGCTGACTCATGCAAGCAAGTTATAAGGTATATAAAACAAACCTGTTTCATCATCCCACTGTGACAGGAAAATTAAGCAAAATAAGAATAAAGGAATAAATAAAGTTAAAACACCACAACACTAATAATGATAATGATGACGATGATGATGATGAGAGTGATATCCATAGTGACAATTATAATGAAAATAAAATGATGAGAATGATGATAATAACAATCACATAATATACTACTTCCTCAATTGGGCCTCTAAGGGCCCAAATGAACAAATAATGAAAAAACTATTCAAATAAACACAACTTGGCTTAAGATGCTGACTGGCAAGGGGTGGATCAATTGGTTACTGAAATACTCAAGCCAGAGACTTGAACTTGGGACAACTACACAAGTTAAATTTGCTGGCTCGACTTTGTACAAAACTTATCCCAATTTGAAGAGCAAAGTAAATACTTTAACCCCTAAACTCCTAAGATCTGATTGTTAATTCTCCCTTCTTGCTGTTACACATTTCCTTGTAACTGAATAAGTTATGAGAACTTGGTTTTAGATCAAGATATCAATTTCTTACTGGTAAGTTTGAATATTCTCATGACCTCTTTGCTGGCTAATGTTTAGATATTATAGGGAGAAGTCACATGTTAATCACTTCTGAAAGTTAAAGGGTTACAGGGCTAAAAACTCCTCATTTTGAGAGACTTCACTCTACTTTGGGCTAATTTGAACTACATGATTACTTGTACAACCCATAGCTTCTAAAACAGAAAATATTAATTTTCAACAACAATGACCTTCCCCATTACAACTTTATAACATTTAAGTATCCTCATACCGGTTTTATATCCAATATGATATTTGATTTTGCTATTAGTGCTGGTTCTAAAATAAAAATGCACAATCAAGCTATTAGCATAAGACATGAATAAGGATTTCAGTGCATCAGATTAAGAGGTTCAGTACAGGAGGAAATTTCTTGGTAATGCCTTTCTCTTGAGAGAGATTGGAATGAAAAGGCACACTGCTAGTATGATATGCTGTCAGTGGTGACTGGTGCACCCAACCACAGATTTAGAAATAGAGATTTGACTCCAAGCCAGGTCATTCTGTTGTGTGGCTCAAACCCCCTTAGCCTTAAATAAGGCCTCTCTGACTCTTATAGTTTAAATGTGTACTAATAGTCTGAAAATCTGAATGAAATAAAAAGTTCTACTTGGGATGGAGTGGTACCTCACCCATGAGATATGTCCAGGCAATAACCAGTCACTACAACAACAACAACTTTTGGCCTCCTGTAAAAAAAAACAACTTACTTTTTGCTTTCTTAGCTGCATATTGTGCCAGTCTTTCTTTTGTGACCTCATCTTCCTTTGAAATCAAAGAAAAAACATGAGTTTACAGCTTGTTCTATAACTGGAAGATATAACTCCTGAGCCATCAGATAAACACAGTGTTCTGTGAACTTGGGTCAAGACTTAGATAAGTAAAGAATATCACACATATTATCTGACACGTCATAATAGTTGCAATTTCTTTATTGTCCTAAAAATTAGCAATTATCTTTAGGGCTAAATGCATAACTGTCCTGCAGGGAAGTTTCCTTTTCTAATTTCTTTATTTTCACTCAGATTCCTAAGATTCCAAGCAAGTAGAACAAAAATGCCCTCTTTTAAAGTGGATTTCCTCAAAACCTCATTCAATTTTCTTGAACCCTTTATACCCTAACGTCAGTATGCATATTCACCATACTGTTCTCCATAAAGTTCCCACTGTGCTGACAAGGAGATGTTTTTTAAACAAGAGTTTCTTTAATTTGTGATAGTTTCCCCAATTCTCATTACCTTAAAGTTTGATCCAGGGATAACACTGTTAGGAGAAATTACAATGCAAGCAACTCTTAAGGCTCTAAGAGTTAAAACAAGACGTCAAGAAAATCACCTCTTCATCTTCATCATCATCTGAGCCAAACAAGTCAAAGTCCTCATCATCTTCATCTTCCTTAGATTCCTCCTTCATCTGAGGCTAAAATGCAGGAAAGGAAAAAAAGTGATAAATTCTAGTCAGCAAGAAGTCATCCAAAAGAATTTCTGAATGAGATACCTGTAAATGATTTCAAATTACTGTACAGAAGAAGAGTTGTCAAGAGAGATCTTGGTGGTTTTTTTATATGAGGGAGGGGAGAGAGTCAAAGAATGTCTTTAAATCACTGTTCACAGTCAGGTTTCTTGAATGTCCATATTTTGGGTTGGTTAATCCTTTAAGTCCCAGAAGTCATGAACATGTTAATTCTCCCTATAATATCCAAACATTATCCAACAGACAGGTAATGAGAATACTCAAACTTATCAGGTAGAAGTTGTTATCTTGATCCAACACAAAATTTTAGTAACTAATTCGCCAGAAAATGTGTATCAGCTAGATGGGAGAATCAGACCTTTGGAGACAAAGGGTTAATCAGAATTAAGGATTGGAAAGAGGTTGACCTACGACCCCTTTTGGTAATTGCTGCCTCTAAGAGTCCAAAAGCCGTGTTTATCAAACCTGAAAAATCTCTGCTGTGCATGCAATATAGAGACAATAACTTCAACCCTTTACACCCTAACATCAGTATTCATATTCTCCATACTGTTCTCTGTACATTTACTAAGTTGCTGACAAGGAGAATTTGCTTAACAATCAAACGTTTCTTTAGTTGGTGATCATTTCCTTGATTCTCATGACATTAATATGTGATTCAGTGATGATATTACAGGGAGAAATTTGATGTTAGTCACTCTTAGGGGTTAAACAGTTAAATGAAATGCTAACTGTAAACTGACACATGATAGCGCAGCAAATACATGACTTTGTATTACTGCCTACTCTGTAAGTTTTTCCAAAACTTTACTTTCTTACTTTTGATGGTTGACTTGATCCTTGTGGTTTATTTCCTATAAACAGAACAAGAAAATATACAAAAATATTAAAAATATATATATAAAAATATAAAAAATATTAAAAAAGGAACTGCATAGTATGGCTAATTTCCTCTTTTTTTTTTTTTTTTTTTTTTTTACTGGCAATATGTTTGTCTAGCAATATAGAAATATTATAGCTTCACTCAATTGCTGGCAAATTCAGGGAGCAATACTCTCGTATGTTAACTAAATATTTGATGTCGTTGGCATGCCCTGGATAATAATATGCTTAAGATAAGAACAAGCCATCTACTCATTAGTTGAGATAACTTGCCAAATGTTATTACCTTTTTCAAGTTGATCAACTCGTAGTGTGAGCTTCTGAAGGGCAGTCTTTAATTCCTCACTGACTGTAGAAGATCAATCACAACATATATTGTATTTCAGTAATTGGAGAATGTCGTCCAATACCAGTATGTTATGATATGGTCAGGCAGAGTTGAGTGACAAAGAGAATTATGGGACAGGTCTTCACTCCAGGGTGGATAACAAGCTTGGTTGTTTGATGGAATCTGAATTGAGAGATCTGAGTTTGAGCCCTCACCAGATTGCTGCATTGTGTTCTTGACAAGTTACTAATCTCTCTTACAGTACCTCTCTTTACTTAAAAGTATAGATGGGTACAGAAATTGCTGGGGGAGGGGGGAGGACCTGCCATAAAAACTTTCATCTCCTCTTGCAATGTTTGAATAATAATGACAATAATACCTTTCTTAAGTTCGCGGTTTTCTTCCTCTAATTGAGCAATACGATTATTTCCTCCAGCAGAAGCCGTTGTGGAAGTTAGAGCCTTAAAAGAATCACATAGGATGATGGCTAAACAGTGAGTAATAAAAATCATCTGAAAACCAATAAAATTGACATCAAATTGCCAGGAGCAAAATCTGGCACAAATCTTGATGAAAATATCTGCTGATAAAACAGCTCAAAATCCAGAATTTGGGCAACACCAGACACACTAGCATTTCAAGTCTTTTGCCCATCAAATTCAGTCATTTACTTTTCTGTCAGGATCATTGACAGAGTTCTTGTTTCTCAAAGAACCTCAGCAAACAAAATCTTGGAGGAACTGTGACCAGGATTTGGCCAAACCTCTTGGGTTTTTGGTAAGAGACTGACAGTTGGCAGAATCCTGTTGGAATTTCCTTCTTATCATTTATTACAAATGTTAAATGATCCGAGTCAAAGACACAGAATCATCTAATTTGGTCTTAGCTATAGAAAATTACCGTAAGATAAAGGAAGACTAACTATTCAGATCACCAGTCAAATTAGGAGTTGAGCTGGAAAACCAAATGGACTCTTAGTAAAGATGGGGCAAGCTAAACATTAGCTTACCGTGTTTAGAGTCTGTTGGATTTTTTTACGGGCATTTGCTATCTCTTGGACTGGAGAAAAGCTTGAACCCTGAGAGAAAACAGAATTAGTTTTGAAAAAGTTGGAAAGAACAGAAATGGAAATTAGAATGTTAAAACTATGCAAAGAGAAGAAAGGGAATGAAAGACAGCGAGGAGGAAAGAGAGACTGTATGAAATTACTGGTGAGTGAAATTCTGAATGCATGCTAAGACTATGAGAAATGTGCACTCATTTGCTGGTGTATTCTTTTGTTGGTGATCATTTCCTTTATTCTTTCAACCTATAAGTGTGAGTCACAGTAATACTGTATGGAGAAATTAGATGCTCATCACTCTTGAGGGTGAAAGGTGTGAACCTTCAACCTCACATTCTTTCCATCTCACAGAAAAATCAACCACGACAAATCAGTTAACTGTTTGAAGAACTAATTTACACACTGAATAATTATAAATAGGGGTTAGTTTCTTAAGAAACTGTGGTGTTGCGTTGGCGGGAGAGTATAACAAGGTTATTTAGTTTTAATTAGTTTTAATTGGCCACTGAAAAGAGTTTAAAAGCTGACGTTTCGAGCGTTGGCCCTTCGTCAGAGCGATTTGATTACACGCTGCATGTGTCTGATCAACATGTACACCGTGAATTTGCAACCATAATGCAATAAGTAACGTTGTATGAGAGAGTTAAATTGACTTAAGTATTACATATGCAATACATGCAATTAGTGCACGGGTGCGTCCAAAATATTTATGTCTAAAGCTCCAAGAAATTATCTCGCGTTCTTTAGTACATGCACTGTACCCATTTCCGTACATTCTCTGGCCGAGGGAGTGATGGAAATTAGTAAAACGAGAAATTCTGCAGTGTACATCTGTACGTGATTATTTCAAGATGCCAAACTGCTTATGTATCCTCTCTTGAAAAAAGAAGCCTTTTCAATCACTCACTGTAGCAATTTAATTTGCAAGCTTACAAAATAATTTTAATATATTTACTTCAAATGTGACAATGTTCAGACGCGTGGAGTCTGGCAAGCCAAAAATGCGTCAGATCTAGAAAACTCAATTTCACCATCTGGTTGATTCCTTGTGTACATGTACAATTAACTATTAAAATCAAGATTTATGTAGGGAGAAATATATTTTAATCACCTTTTTCTCTGTGCCATGTGATCCGCCGACAGTTCCGGCGAGAAATCTTTGATAATGTGCTTCTGCCTCCTCATATTTAGGCCTGTCGACCCAGATGGATTCACAAAGCATGGCCGCACTCATGTTGACTTTCAAACGAGAAATCAATTTAATCGACTTTCGCAGCCACTAACACACTCGGTTGCGACAAAGCTAGTAAGAGAAATAATTTTGGCTCAGATTTTTTTTCTAGTACCGGTTTCCAGATATGTTGAGAGATATGATTGGATAGCTTTGAGAAGTTGGTAAATTTAACCAATCAGATGAGGCAAAAGAAAATACACATGGTTGCTTCGCGGGCTCGCTTTAGATACCTGAAGGTTTGAGTTCGTTGCCACTAAAAAGTTTGTAGAGACGTGAACGAGTTCGGCTAATTATGCAGTCAACGAATTAAAATTAATAGAAGTATGAACAGATTGTGACAAAAGGTGAGCGTAGAGGTCTTAGTTAAGAGTATAGCCTTCAGTTTGCACATGGGTTAGATGTCAATATTTTCAGGAAGTGCAAGCGAAATACACTTTTGAACCGCAAGTGTAGAGATTTCATTTTTTTGTTTTATTAGAATAAGGATACACTTTTTTAAGCTTAAACTTATCTTAGTGAACCTGTAGTTTTAATATTTTGTTCAGACCATACAAAGTTGGAGTTGCTACTTTATTTCAGATATATTCGAGGTCATGGGGGAAGATTTTAGTTCGGGACTTTTGGAGGGATCTTCTACTACATCTGGAGTACCCATCGAGCACCTGGACTATGGATACATAGAAAAGTGTTCTAAAAGCAAGGAACTGGAAAAAATTCTTAGAGTTTTGCGGTAAGAAACTGTTTTTGATTGTTGCATCTATTTCCGGTTTGCATCGTGTTAAGATCTGATCAACAATCAATTCTCCCTATCCTATCATTGAGGTGCGTATAAAGCCTCAAACACTTTTTTATGGTTAGCATACAACTTCTCCCTAAAATTTCAATGCATTATACAGTAAACTGGTCATGAGAATCAACACACTTATCAGTTCAAGGGCAGAAGCTTGATTAAGCACCATATTTTCGACTTAAGTTTGAGTCAATGTCTTGCCATATTATAGGAGAATAAGTACAAGGGTATATGAAGGGTGGTCCCTGGGGTGCCCCTGACCCCCCTCTTGTAAGTCATTTTTGTCACACAGAGTAAAACATGACATGGAGGTTGACATAACAATCTTCGACATGGTGTGCCCCCCCCCCCCCCCTTTTGAAAAATCCTGGCTACACTCCTGAAGTAGTCAGATCTTGTGAGTTCAAGGGAGTTGTAAGGTACTCCATATCATTAAATAGACATATTTCTCCTCCTTTATACCAAACTCCCACCTTCCTCCTTCTTCCTTCCTCCCATTGGGTACAAGGTTCAATAATTTGAACAATACGTTGGATTGAAATTCAGCCATAGCAGGAAAGAAATGTTTTGATCTTCTAAAGGCAGACACTGACTTCTTCCCCTCCCTCTCTTTTGTCTTGCTGAATTTCAGGTCTGGCGAGGAAGGCCATTATCCAGAGCTTATCAAATTCACAGAGGAAAGATTACAGAAGGTAAATCCTAAAAGGTGAGTTTAGCAAACTCTAATAACCTTCTTTTGTAAGTCAGACTGAGGATGTTTCACTGGGGGGCTGTGTTCATTAAAGAGGTCATGGAAATCCAACCTAACAGATGTTGGTAAGTGGCCTAGAGAATGAAGTTAGACTGCAGATAACTACATTGTATCCCTGAAATCTTTATCTGTGGCATCTACTTGAAATTAATGTTGTTATTTTCTTGTTATTCATTTGAAGGGGTGCTGCTATTTTTGTTGATAAATCCTTATTGTATGAGACATATCTTGGTTCTCTTCTCTGAATCTCTTTCTTTCTTTGATAGCAAGAGTCTTCGTAAAGAACTCCCCATCAACACTTATCGCGATTTGACTAAATCAGAGCACCAGGAGATAACAGATGACTTGCAGGTTTGTGTCTTGTTCACAATGTTTTCACCCACATGTTGATGAAGGGTTTGCACTCACAGAGGTGGATTCCAGCAATAAGTAATCTTAGTCCAGACTATGAAATGCAAATTACAAAGGTTGGAATCAAATCACTCAAATCCAGGCCCATCAAAGTCTCAGCTAGGTATTACCATTCGCTTATTTCTTGGCTTCTGTAACTTCACTTTGAGTTATATTAGGAACCTAAGAATATGGAATGGTTTGATCATATGTATCTTATGGCTGTGTTCCTGATTATGACTTTTGTAAGATATGGGGTAAATACTGGGCTTGAGAGCCTCATTACATTTCTGACTCGCTACCTTGCAAATACAGGCCTTAAATCAGTTTGTACCTTTAACCTAAACATTTTGCACTTATTGGAGCCCTGCTCCTGTTATTGTAGCTTTAGATGGTAGTAGTTGAAATATGGGTCATCTAGAGCTTTGGGAAATGTAAATACCGGACAGAGTATTTCACTGCAGGAAACGATCAGATGGTAGTTTTCTCTTACACAGTGCTAATCCCAAGCTATCTATTTTTTTCAGGATTGGATGGCAAATATCAATGAAGAGGATGAAGCATTGAAGAAATTAGGTGGAACTAAAGGAATGGAAAATGATAATCTTCCTCCTATTAGAACAGCAGTCAGAAGTGAAAAACCTCCTGCTGAGGTTTGTTTAAATATTGTATGGAATTCTTTGCATATGTTAAGGAATGATTTTTATAACACACTACAGGATATGAACATTTTAGTCAGGATCTCATACCCATGGTTGTAGACAGGGTTGTCAGAAAGCTTTGTTAAGGGAGCACACCGTAACCCTTTTTTTTCCCCACTTTGATTGCTTACATAAATGATATCAGCCATGAATGATTTTAGCATAATTTGGCCCATCTCTTTCATTAGCAGCCTCAAAAACCTGTAGCTGAAAAGAAGAAGCCAGTGACACCACGTAGCTATCATGAGTGGGACAGGTAAATGAACACTGCTTGAAATGTTACAGACTACTTCAGTCGCATCTATCTGCATCATTGGCTGTGATGTGATGCACTGCAAATCTTCACACTTTGCTTTCCTGCATGGCAGGATTTGCCAGTTCAATGCCTCTGTCTTCAGATAGAAACTCTTGGTGGATTATATTCTAACAGCTGACGGAGGAGTTCTCTAGTTTCACAAGAAAAGTGATAATATCACCTCTTCTTCTAACCTTAGGCAGTGATTGGCAATCAAAGGTGTCTATGCCTGAGGTTCTCTGATTTTAGGGGATGATTCCCTTTAATTCCTTCCCATTACTTCTCCCATTAGAGTATATTTTATTTCCTGATTTGTGAGAGACTTTTTTTATTGGTAGAAAGTCTTGAATGCACTCAAGGAAATTTTGCATGTAAGTCTTGCTCCTTACTCAGAGGCTTCAGAACTAATTAAAGCTGACAATAATGTCAGTTTGCCCTTTTACCTTTTTATCCCTCAAGATTTGATCCTGATAAGGAGATAGAATCTTTGGAGAAACAAGAGGAGAAAGAAAAGAAAAAGATGCAGGAGAAAGTGAGGGCAACCAACAAGAATGCAATTTCAGCAAATGTGGATTTGACAGGTAATCTGCAGTTATGCTTGAGGTATATGAAACAAAATGGACAGATTTGAATTTGAAGGCTGCTCTGACAGATTCAAACATTGTAAACTGCTCAATACAGTCTGGCTAAATTCCCCCTGCAAAGTGTTGTTAAGTGCCATGAGCTGATGGATATGGTGCTATATAAATACTTCATAACTATTATTATTACAAGTACTTTGTTCAACCCTTTAACTCCCATAATGACCAAGACATAATTTCTCCATACAAGATCATGCAGACAAGTGATAAGAAAAAAGAAAGATATCAATTAAGGGATTATTAGTTGATCCAATCCCAAATTCTCTAAACTAACATCACAAGAACTGTATGGCAGACAGTAAGGAGAATTACAAATGAGATCTTAGGAGTTAAAGGGTTAAGATGAGTCGCTAAATAAAATCAAGACACATGGGGTAGTGATTAACTTGTTGGAATTTTTATAGAAAGATCCAGGTTTAAGTTCCATCCTAGATTACTGCAATATATTCTTGGATAGGTAAAATAATTTTAAAAAAAAATCAAGTATTACACTTGGCAAATGCATGGGACATTTCATTTCATTTATGTATTCTATGGGGATAGTTGGCCAAACTAAATATTAACAGTGATTGAACATTTTTTAATCAATTCTTTTATTTATCTCCTCCACTGTTAACTATGGTATGGTAAAGTCAACCCATTTGGCCATTTATCTCTAACAGTTTGTGTAGCTGGACTAAAGTCTAGGGCTAAAGTTCATAGACATGGCATGCTATCCCCAAGTAGTTTTGCCGTGGGTCCAGGGAAGCACTGAGGGAGACAATTGTCTTGCCTGGTGCTAGGCATAAGGATCTACACAGAATACTGACCATTATGCTTGTGTCTAGCTTGTACAAATTTATACTGCTTGATAACTACCTTGTCATTATAATTCTTTTTCAAGATTCTTTTCTTTTCCTCTCTACATTTACAGGAAAGAGTGACACGGAGAGGAAAATCCTTGCTACCAGAGAAAAGGAGAAAGGAAATGAAGCATTCCAGAGTGGCCATTACTCTGAAGCTTTGACCTTTTACTGCCGAAGCATTGAACTGGATCCAAAAGCAGCAGCAGTATACAACAACAGGGCACTTGCAGGTATAAAGTGCTCACAGTGCACCCGCTGATGATGATAAGAAATTAAAGTCTTTCCTGTTATTGTCAAAATATTGTTCCTTCTGATGTGAATTGTATAGTTTCAAGTGCTTGATGTACATAAGCCTTCTTCTGGAAATGAAGAAGAAGAGATACATGTCACCTTTTGGTGAAAAGTGTGTTGTCATTTAAATTTAATAGCATATTTTCTTTATCCTAAAGAAATTAAACTTGGAAAGTTCCAAGAAGCTGTTGATGACTGTGATCATGTGCTTAGTATAGAACCCAAGAATGTAAAAGGTACTACATTTAATGATTCACAATAATTATCTTCGCATCCAACTGTATTTGTTTCCAATAGTTAAATTATGAAGGGAAAAGCTATCCATCTTGAAAATGTAGGCTGGTGAACATTTTGTTTTAGTGTTTCGGTGTGCAATCTGTGTTTTTCTTTGT